AATTAAAAAATTTTTAAAAAGAAAGAGGGAGGGAAAGTCTTTCGTTAAAATCAATTTTTAAAAATTCCTGGCCAGGTGGCTGCGGGAACTGGAGCTGGTGGTGCAGCCACCTTTGCCCGGCCGGGTATTCGAGCCAAACTGTCATCGCCAAAATGTCGGGAAAAGACCGAATTGAAATCTTTCCCTCTCTAATGGCCCAGACTATCATGAAGGCTCGGTTGAAAGGTGCACAGACAGGCCGAAACCTCTTGAAGAAAAAATCCGATGCTTTAACTCTTCGATTTCGACAGATCCTAAAGAAGATAATAGAGACTAAAATGTTGATAGGTGAAGTGATGCGAGAAGCTGCCTTTTCACTAGCTGAAGCCAAGTTCACAGCTGGCGACTTTAGCACCACAGTTATCCAGAATGTGAACAAAGCCCAGGTGAAGATTCGTGCAAAGAAAGATAATGTAGCAGGTGTTACTTTGCCAGTGTTTGAACATTACCCTGAAGGAACTGACAGTTATGAACTGACTGGTTTAGCCAGAGGTGGGGAACAGTTGGCGAAGTTAAAGAGAAATTATGCCAAAGCAGTGGAACTACTGGTGGAACTCGTTTCACTGCAGACTTCATTTGTTACCCTCGATGAAGCTATTAAGATAACCAACAGACGTGTAAATGCTATTGAACATGTTATCATTCCCCGGATTGAACGAACCCTTGCTTACATCATCACAGAGTTGGATGAGAGAGAACGAGAAGAGTTCTATAGGTTAAAGAAAAGCCAAGAGAAGAAAAAGATTCTTAAGGAAAAATCTGAGAAGGATTTGGAGCAGCGAAGAGCGGGTGGAGAGGTGATAGAGCCCGCTAATCTTCTGGCTGAAGAGAAGGATGAGGATCTTCTCTTTGAATAATCTCTCCTGCTGTGGTCCTTCCAGAATCCTAACACTGGCACCCTTTTCATTCATGCTGTGTAGGTCTGGTACGTGTGGCTATTTTTTTTTTCTTTTTTTTTGCCTAAGAATCTTACTGGTTGTAAAATTTCCTTGAAAGGGAATTTGGTGGGATTACTTTTGCAGCATCAGAATTCAGCATTGGTTTGAGAGATTTGTGGAACCTTTCAAAAAACTTGTGGAACTTACCACACAGGAATGTCACTTATCCCATCTATATCTGTGTTTTAAGTGATTTGCTTCCCAAGCATATTAGGAGAATCCCACCTTACGGACCATCTGTGGGTCTCAGGCCACATCCCGAAGTCAAACAACCACTATGCACCCTGTATTCCTGCCTACTTGCACTGGTGTCTGAGATTGCTGCAGCAGTCCTTGTGTTACTGTGTTCTTTCTTTCCAAGTCTTAAGAATACCTTCACATATTTTTCTTGCATGACAGGTTTCTGTCCTGTCTGTCATTGAAACTATGGTACAAAAAGAGTAAAATGATTTAAAAAGTTAAAAAAATAAATTCCTGGCCAATAGAAATTCCATACAACCCAGCTATTCCACTATTTGGAATGTATCCTGAGAATATGAGAACTGAGGCACAAATGTTCATCAATATGGTGCACGAAAGTTCATAGCAGTATTCACCATTGCAAGAACATGGAAACAGCCCAAATGTCCAACCATAAGCGAATGGATTAAGAAATTATGGTATATTCACACAATAGAATACTATGCAGCATGCAGGAGAAATAACTTTGTAAATTATTACCTAACTTGAGAGGGACTGGAGAGCTATGCTGAGTCTACTAACTCAGTCCCACAGGGATAAATATGATATAAAATCTGTTACTGTAGAATGAGTATAAGGATCCAGGAGATGTGAGAGAGGCTGGAAACAGAGGGATGTGGATGTGCAGGGAGAGGGGGACTTTTAATCTTTGGGTTCTACAATTTGATGGGGGGGGTTGGAGGAAATTGAAAGAATTTGTTCAAATTTATATTCAAGTTTTGTATATAAACTAGTAGAAAACAAACAAACAAAACGTCACGACCAAGTGGGATTCATAACCGGTATGCAAGCAAGGATGATTAAACATAAAAAATACAATTCATTTAATTCATCACACTATTAAGACAAAAGACAAGAACAACATGATCTTATCAATTGATGCAGATAAGAACTTTGACAAAATCCAACAGTGTTTCCTGATTAAAACACTTATCAAAATAGGAGTAGTAGGCAATTCATTCAACAGATTTACAAGTATTACACAAAATCAAACATCATTCTTTTTTTTATCTTTTCTCTTCCCTGCCTCTTTTTAAACAGTCCCTCCTTAAGGACTATCCACTTAGCTTTGTATCCAAAGACGAAATTTGTAGGTGAAAGGAGTTAGCCATCATTACAGACTGGTTAATTTCAGGGTCGAAAGTATGGAACGCTTCACGAATTTGCATGTCATCCTTGCACAGGGGCCATGCTAATCTTCTCTGTATCGTTCCAATTTTAGTATATGTGCTGCCGAAGTGAGCACCAAACATCATTCTTAATGGAGAGTGGGAGACTAATAGTATTCTCTATCTGTCATATGCCTATAAAACATTGAACTGTCATAAGTTGTGTAATAACTGCTTAAAACAACAAAAAGAGAAAAGTTGATGAGGGTACTGATGTACAACCAAGCAAACACCTCTTGGGATGTGATTCCTAGTTTGGAGGTTTAGGATCATGGTTTCACGTGACATCCAGTTAATTTGCTACACTTCCAATCCAAGGGGAGGTGGTTTGAATCCACTATTTGCTCCTTGGAAGAAAGATGGGTAATCTCTTCTTGTATGATTTACAACCTCTGAAAATCCCCTGAAAGGTCAGCTGTTCTTACTCCACTGGACATAATAGAAACACCATGTTTAATCGCTTCAATTCTTTGATCTAGTTTGATGCATAGTATTTGCAAGCAGCTATCCAAGGAACAACAATTGGTCTGTGTTTGGCTTCAGCAGTAGAGGAAAAAGGCAAGTCCATAATAAGAGGAGTATATGAATGTTCAAAAAAGAAAGGTGAGAATGGTTGCACAGCTCAAAAAAATCTAGCCAATATCATTGAATGGGATTCAAAAAGACAGGGTGATGATGGACATAGATAAATACTAACTAATTATATAAAATACAGCTGCATGACTGTATAAAACACAACACACATGAATGAAACACAATGCACATGAATGAAACACAATGTAAATGAAAGATTGTAGAAAATACAATATACATTGTGTTTAAACAGAATGCATATAATTTATTGTATGCAAACAAGAAAAAACATAAAAATTTAAAAGGAGGAAAAATTTCTATAGGAGCTATTAAATTGGTACATGTTCTGCTATGCTTATTATTGAAAATTTAAAAAAATATGTTTTAAAAAGAATGGAGGTGCTGTCCCCTGCTGGTCATGTCCAAATGCAAACAGGATTGCTCTTCACCCTTCCTCTTTCAAAATAACTTAAAATATTAAAGCTGGAAAGAATCTGAATCTTTTAACCCCTCTGGCCCAAGATTTTTCTTTTAGGTTTTACAGCAGAGATTCATAAAATTTTGTGTAGCATCAGATTTGACTCCTAGTGCTCTTCTCATTATCTCAAGTCATCCTCTTGCCTACCTCCTCTTATCTGCAACCAAGCACAGGACACAAGTAATTTCCACATATATTTAACATTTCTACCGTCTTGCAATCTGGTGTTCTTTAATTGCAAGATTCCTAGAAATATTTCTAAAATAACTCTATTTTTCTAAAACCACTATTTTAGAATAAAGGCATACATATCTAATAGTATTCTGAAATTTTTTCAAAGTTTTATGTTTTATTTCTTTGAAAAATGTCATAGATATTTTCATTATTTTCCAAAATACGTTCATTTATGTTTAACATAAGTTCAATTGGACTTATCCTAGTTTAAAAAAATAACAAAATAATCAAATTACCTCTCATATATATTGTTGTAGTTGTTGTTAGGTACCATTCACCCCGTGTAAAGCAAAACTACACTCTACCTGATCCTATGTCATCCTCATAACAGCTGTTGTGTTAGAACCCTATTGTGTCCCCTTTGTGACTCCAGCTCCTTGAGGGTCTTCCTCTGGCCCTCTCCTTTACAATCAAGCTAAGTTTCTCCCAGGAACTAAGCAAGGATGCTCACTATCACCTCTCTTATTCAATGTTGTGTTGGAAGTCTTAGCGATAGCAATAAGACAAGAGAAGGAAATAAGAGGTATCCAAATTGGTAACGATACGGAAGTAAAATTATCTCTATATGCAGATAATATGATAGTATACTTAAAAAACCCTAAAGACTCAGCAAGAAAACACTGGACATAGTTGACCAATTCAGCAAAGGGCAGGATACAAGATCAACATACAAAAATCAGTTGGATTTCTCTACAATGACAAAGAGAATACAAAGCTGGAGCTAAGAAAAACAATACCCTTCACTATAGCTAATCACAAGATTAAATACTTGGGAGTAAATCTAACCAGAATCACAAAGGAGCTGTTCTAAGAAAATTACAAAACATTACAACAAGAACCAAAAAGAGACCTTGAGAAATGGAAGAATATTCCTTGCTCATGGATAGGAAGACTCAATATTGTGAAAATTACAATACTACCAAAGGCAATTTACACATTCGATGCAATCCCAATAACAAATACCAATTCCATTCTTCAACGAGATGGAAAAGGTAATCTCCAATTTCATATGGAATGGAAAGAGACCCTGAATAAGCAAAGTACTCCTTAAAAAGAGAAACAAGGTAGGAGACATCTCACTTCCTGGTTTCAAATCTTACTACAATGCCACGGTGGTCAAGAGAGCATGGTATTAGTACAGTGATAGACACATAGATCAATGGAATAGAATTGAGAATCCAGAAATAAGCCTATTTACCTATGGTCAACTGATTTTTGACAAGGAGATGAAATCAGTTAAATGGGGAAACGACAGCCCTTTTAACAAAGGGTATTGGCAAAATTGGAAAACTATTTGCAGAAAATTCAAGCAAGATCCACACCTCACTCCATACACAAAAACCAACTCAAAGTGGACCATGGACCTATGACTAAAACCAAGGACTATAAACTTCATTCAAGAAAAGCTTGGAAGAACTCCAGAAGTCCTAATCAAATCCCGGTGCACATCCAAAAACTTCTCCAATGGAGTAATAAAAGAAACCACAGATTGCGAAAAAATATTTGGTCATGATATGTCAGACAAGAAACTTATATCTAGAATTTCCAAAATACTTGAGCACCACAACAAGATAAAGGTAAACAATCCATTTGAAAAATAGGCACAGGATATGAACAGACACTTCACCGAGGAAGACATTCAGATGGCAAACAAACACAAAAAGAAATGTTCAAAATCCCTAGCTCTAAGAGAGATGCAAATCTAAAACAACTATGAGAAATCATCTCACCGCAGTAAGAATAGCAAAATTTATCAGAATAGCAAGGAACAAATGCTGGCGAGGTTGTGGAGAAACTGGAACCCTTAATCACTATTGGTGGGAGTGTAAAATGGTGCAACAACCACTGTGGAAGGAGGTATGGCACTTTCTCAAAAAGTTACAAATAGAGATATCATTTGACCCAGCAATTCCACTACTGGGAATATAGCCCAAAGAGACCATAACTGGCATCCAAGCAGATATATGCACTTATGAACTGGTCATTATCTATCTACTGTTATCCTATTCTCCTCCCGACCACCCATGTCAGACCTGCTTTATAACAGTGGTGCTACTCAGTATTTGTCCTTTTGTGACTGTAATATTTCACTCAGCATGACATGCTCCAGGATCCTCCATGTTGTGTAATGTTTTACAAGTTCATTGTTTTTCAGTGCTGTGTAGTACTCCATTGTATGAATATACCATAGTTCATTTGTTCATTCATTCATTTGTTGATGGGCA